TAATTCCAACAAGTAGCTATACAAACCACTGTGCTCTGTAAATTCAACCATCCACTGCTAATTCAAAAGTTCCATGATGGGAAATTCCAAGTCGTATAGGAATTTGTTAAAAGTACATTTTTAAAAAAGTATCCAAAATTTTAAATTTGAAAACTCACTCTGCTACTTACTCATGGCTGAAATCAGGGCTTCTCAAATGTGGTCCCCAGATCAGCAGCAGCCATATCACCTGAGAACTTGTTAAAATGGAAATCTTGGGTCCCCACCCCAGACCTGCTAAATCAGAGATTCCAGGGAAGGCATTTAGCAATCTGTGTTTTAACAAGCCCTCTAGGTGATTCTGATGCATACCACGATTTGAGATCCACTGGTTTCAATGATCCGATCCAAGTTTCCTTACACGTAAATGGGAGTTAGAATACCTGGCCTCTTAAAGTTGTAAGAATTCAATTCAATAGATTTTGCATGAGAAGCATTTAGCACAGTGTCTGGCACTTAGTATACACTCAATAAATGACAGCCACAATTAATGTTATTATTATTATTGGATTTCTTTTCTGGGTGGCCAACGAATCAGTCTATGTCTCTGCATGTCTACCTGTGAAATAATTGTAAAGAGGGAAGCTATTTTAACATTAATCATTACAACAATAGCTAATTTACTGAGCTCTGTGCCAGGCACTTGGCTAATCACTTCAGGAACCTTGCATTCCATCCTCGTTTAAAAAAAAAAAAAAAATGTTAAGTGAATGGTGCTATTATCGTCCGGCTTTTACAGGTGAGAAAAACAGCTTAAGCAACTTGCCCAGAATAACACAGGTAGTGAGTGGAAGAGCGAGGGGAAAATATTCAGGGTGAGACTCCAAAGCTCAGCTAGTTAAACACATTGCTAAACCACCAGTCCAGAGTGGTTTGCAGAAGAGACTGTAGGGTGGCCATTTTCATACCTACAGTGTTATGCGGAGAATCAGACATTCCCTACAACATATGCATGCCATCATAGCTATTGATTAATTATAGAAAAAGACTCTCAATCAAGTTTTTGCTTGAATTTTTTTTTGTAAGATACCAAGGGCAAAGGAGACCGTATGGCTGTCCTCCGTGAAGTCCTCCATGATTCTTCATTTCTGCCAAGGCACATTGGCTGTGCAGCCACAATGGGGGATAATTTCCCGATGACAGAAATAAAGACAGCCCAGCATCTGTCACCAGTTATTCCTTCTGGGTCGCAGTTTGGGGCACAGATTACTTGAGCCCAAAGAATACATTCGAGTGTTCATTAGATAAGAGCTTCAACTAGAAAAAAAAAAATGCTTCCTTTAGCTACAGAAGGTAAATCTTCAGACAAAGATGAGAAAAAGGAAACGTGGAAATGTGACCTGTAATTACTGTTAAGTATGTGTTAGCCGTCATACTTATTAATATGGGTTTGGGGCCCAGTGATGAATGCCAAATTTGTATCATTTTTTTTTAACACAGCAAATTCTGGCACGTAAACTACCAATGACATTCTATAAAAAAAAAAAAAACAATTTTAAAATGGGTAAAATTATATGTATATCAAAGAGATTTCAGAACAGGCTGCTGAATTAGTAAAATAAATATATTTAAACACTCATCAAAATGATATTCCAGGGTAAAACATGTGTTTATGCAGCTCAGCGTTGGCTTTATCCTGTTAAGGGTACACGTAGGCCAGGAACAAAACCCTGCAGCTTTTCTTATTTGAATGAAGCTAATAAGTTTGTCCACTTGAGAGTTTCTGCCTAAATCTTCGAAGCTGGACTTCAGAGATATTCCAAGACATTTGGTTTAATAGAAAACGTCTCTGCGTCCCTAAAAATGACGGTATCAATAGCAGCACCACTGAGCAAACACTAGTTTTGGCGTCTGCCTTTTATTTTATTTTTTTTCTCTCTTCTTAGCTCCTCCCCAGCTAGCTCTTGAAAGGCCTTCTGTTCTGTCAGCCATAATGACATCTGCTGGCGGAGACAGGAAGTCATAAATCTGTAGGTCCCCTCTCAACCAAACCTTGTTAATGCTGCCATTTATCACAGGGGCTGGGGTGCCATCTCTGGAGGGCTGGACGCAGAGAGTCCATTTTCTCCCATACCCCTCTCCCAAGAGAGCAACCATTTTAAAAACAGCCACTTTTTCATCTCGCATTCGCGGACTTGAAAGTCGGGCAGATGCAAACCGCGTCGTCAACGTGCAGCTCTTGGAAAGAAGCCACGATTCCAGGCAACAATAGACTCGCCTTGATGTCTCGGGATGGAAGAAAGGCAGTTCTGCCCAAGCTCTGTCCTTTCTCCTCTTAAATCGCCCCCTAACTGCTTCTAGGAGAGGAAGGGCGATTTCCTTCCCCTGGCCTCACTGTGCTTCTTTAAGGGCAAAACTGGCTACAGGGGGAGTTGAAAGAGGATTATTTAAACTCAAGTTACTTTTGTTCTGACCTAATTCAGGATGATGTGTGGGCTTTATTTCTTAAGGGTTTATTGTGTCCTAAGCCTTGATTCGAGACCTGTGCCTATGCAAGATCTAGCCTAGCTTTCACTACTCAGAGTTTGCTCCCTGGATCAGAAGCAGCAGCAGCATCTGTTCGAGCTTGTGAACAATGCAGCATCTCAGACACTCTAGACCCACTTGGTCAGAATCCATCTCTGAAACAAGACCCCTAGATGCTCTCTCTGCACAGTAAAGGTCATGAGGCTGTGCTCTACCCTGGCTTCTCGCCCGCAGCCTTAGTGCCGTTTTGGGCCGGATCATTCTGTTGGCAGGGGCCTTTCCTGTGCACTGGATCTTGGGCAGCATCCCTAGCCTCTACCCACTAGATGCCAGTAGCATACTCTTGAGTTGCGACAATAAAAAATGTCTCCTGACACATTGTCAAGTATCCCCTGGGAGGAAACACCACCCCTGTTGGAACCTGGGCGACTCTGAGCGTGGTCTGTGGACACACAGCATCGGTGTCATCTAGAGGCTTATCTCAGACCCCACCCCAGACCTACTAAGTCAGGATCTCCTGGGATGGGGCCCAGGAATCTGTTTTAACTCTCTAGGAGATCATACTCAGGCTGAAATTTAAGAACTGGAAAGCTGTGGGGTAGAAACTGGGAAAAGCAATGTGATGACTAGAGGACTCATGATATAAATGTCACTGCGGCTGTAGCGTTCCTGAGAGAGTGATGTACGGTGGCTGAGTATAGGAGCCACAGCCGCGCCAGGAGGGCGGGAAACTGGGCTTTCCTATTTGCTGTCTCCATGACCTTGAGGAACTTACCTAACCTCTCTGTGCCTGTTTCCTAATAAGTAAAATGAGGACAACCAAGCACTTTCCCTCATTGAATCATTTTAAATATTAATAAGTTCGTATTTGAAAGTGTTTGGCCCAAGTGCTTCATAAATATTAGCTACTATTCTTATTACTATAATTTGCCTGTTTTTCCCTGGATTTTTAAGTTCCCTAAGAGCCCAGCAGGTGCTTTATTCCCGGCTGCTTCCCCAGCACCCACCCCAGTGCCCGGCATGGAATGTTTCCCACGAATGTTCGTGGGAAAAGAGGGTACGTCTCCAAAGAGGGTACGGGGTTGGCAGGAGCTCTGCCCCCAACGGCTTGGATCTGTGCTCTGCTTCCTTTGTGGTTTCTGCCTGCGGCTCCGAGCCGATTGGCTGCTGTAAATTGACGCCCTTGCAGATGCGGAGATCTGAGCTGATGTGAATTTGACCCCATAGTATGGATCCGATTTGACTTCAGACAGAGCCGAAAGCATTCTCTAAACGATAGCCAGTCAACAAACGCTTGTAAAATTATGAAAAAGCTAAAAATGTGGGCGTGCTTTCTATGTATCAGGCGTCATGCTAAATATTCTACGTTATCTCATACAATCCTCCCTGTGCCCCTAATGGAATCGGTGACGTCATTATTCCCATTTCACAGAGGGGAAAACTGAGGCCCAGAGAGGCTCACAACTTGCCCAAGGTCATGGTCGTAGTGCATAGTGAAAGTACTCTGGATTCAGGCCTGTCTGATTTCAAAGCCTGTCTACCTTCCCTGGTGCCTCCCTGGTCTGCACACAGTGACCCTATGTCCGAGATTTTCTGGAACAACCCTAATTTCAAACATTCTGCTCCCACTTTATGCTTAAGGACACACATAAGCGTCAGGGCACATGTCTTTCAAAAATGACCATGATGAGAACCCCACTCTATACCCCTGCCAGAGATATGGTGGGAAAGGAGAGACCCCCTGCCCCCAAGTGAGCGCATTTGTGGGGAGAGATAGGAGACTGACAAAATCAGCAAATAAAAGTCTTGTAAGCACGTGCCAAATGCTTGCTCATAAACAACAGGACTGAAAGAGAGGGGGCAAGTAAAAAGCATGAAGCGTTTTTATATGCTAGTGTATTCAACACCTGGTTGCTGACGGTCTGCCGTGTGCCCGGCGCCATGCTGAGAAGTGGCGACAGTGCAGTGGACGAAGCGATCTTGGTCCGTGCCCTTGTGAAGCTCGCAGTTTGGGGGACTTCAATCCAGCAGACTTGGCCTGGGTCCCTGCCCACTTCTTCACACTTCAACGTACCTGCCAGCACCAGAGGCAGCTCTCATCCCATGACTGGCAGGAGGTGCTGGAAATATACCCCAGCTCCCGCAGCCTTTGGAAGGAACATCCCGGAAGTGGGCAATCGTCACTGACTCCCAGTGTCCCCCAGGGGATCAAGCTCCCGTCACCCACAGTGATAACCTGCTCGCTGACACACGGGAATGGGCCGCCTCCCTTCCCTCATCTGCTTTCCCACCTCCCCACCCACCGGAGTTGTCTAGGACCATCTCCCAAATGAACTACTTGCTCCGGAATCCTAATCTTGGGGAACCAAAACACACAAAAGAGGATTTGCAACAGTCTCGGGCAATTCAAGCGTTTTAAGCCTGTGGGTTCCTTGGCTGTATTGGCCTTCCTGGCGACAGTTAAGGAGAAAAGACAAGCTATATTGATGGGGGGAAACAGCATCTGGGACAAGTCACTTTGACATAATCCTAGCAAGCAGGGGTAGAATCTCATGAAATTTTCAGGACAATAGGATGCTTAATGCCTAATCATAATAGATAAGACATGCTCCGAATAAGACAGAAAGGTGTTCTCAGAGCGAATTATATCATTCTCTATTTGCTTCTGAAAGTTGAGGGGCACCTTTGGGCACACAGTTCTAATGAGTCCAGGAAGGCAAGCTTGATGCACAGTTGAGGTGACATAAAATATACCAGAGCCCAGAACTTAAAGGTTGCTCGTCACGTGGTTTCCAAGCTGTTCCGGTCCTTACATTCACTTAATGTCTTCCTGTGGTTAATGAAGTTGAGCAATGGATTATGGGGCCAGCGACTTGGGCTGGATTCTTCAGCAGCAGCAAGACACTGTCACCAACTGCAAGTAATCAACTCTAAGGGAGGAGGGTGGTATAGGTTAAATTGAACAGCTCCCACACCCCAGCCTGCCCACTCAGCCCTCGTCCCGCTTAAAATATACACGATACTTAATTGCTGTTGCAAAATTCTACACCTGGCCAAAACGAAATAGGTTTTTTTTTTTTAAAAAAAGAGAGCACAACAACTTTTGGGGGTTTCATTCTTAGAAGCAAGCTTGCCCATGTCCGAGTGTCACCAAACTTCATCGTCATTCACCTTAATTGTTTTTAGAAAGCGAATTCCCACCAAGCGGGACAAGGTGTTCTCCTTCTTTGCTGGTTGAGCAAATCCACTATAATGCACAAGGTGTTTTCAGGATGTAAATAAATAAATTAGCATTTATCCATGGCTGGAAGAATACAATTCAAAGTCAGCATCCTGACCGATGCCGTCATCCATGATCTCGTCCCCACCCTCCCCTCCTGCGTCTTTCTGCTCGCCTCCCCCGGCTGGCTCCCTGAACCTGGACCCCACGAGCTGCATTTTTTTATGTCCCGGAAGCCACAGACGTCTCTTATGATTTCGGGCTCCTGGTTGGCTGTTTCATGTCTTCTCGATCTCGGTTTAAATGTTACCTTCTCAAAAAGGCTTCCCGTGATCCCCCACCCTAAAATCGGCCCTGCTTCTGCTCCTTACTCTCTGTCCCAACACCCACCTTATTTTCTGCCTATCGCTCGCCAGGATCCATCCAGGATTTCCTCTTGTCTGGTTCTCCCCACCAACATGACGCTGCACCAGGTGTCGTGGGAGGGCAGAAAATCACCGGAGATTGCCACCTTAACGTTTTCACAGAACACTCACTGGGAAGAGGGATACCCTGAATGAGTTAAATGACATCAGAGAAAGATAATGCATTATATCCTCCAGGACAAAATTATTTGGTACACTGGCTCTCAAATTTAGCCATGTATTGTAATCATCTGGGGGCTTTAAAGAACTACTGATTGCTGGATCCTGCCCCCACAGACTGAGGAATGCATCTGGGCATTGGGAGTTTTTAAATCACCCCAGCTGATTATGATATGCAGCAAAGTTCGAGAACGCTGCTTTTTGAAATTGAGGCGTTACGTACATATTTAGAAGTGTACAAATTATTAGCATGCGGCCGAATTAATTTTTACAGACTGAACACACTGAAGTAAACTGCACCCCGATTAAGAACAATAGGGGCCCCAGTAGCCTCCGCAGGCCCACTTTCAAAGGTAGCCACCGCCCCATTATCTAAGCAGACATTAGTCTTGCCTGCTCGTGTGCTCGTGTATTTGGAATCACACTCTACAATGAGTCTCTTTGTTTTGAGAAGGTATGGATTAGAGACTTTCGAATCACGTGGGACCCACCCAGGTAGCCTTCCTGAAAGAGGCAGTTTTTAAGGGAGGATGTGAAGGAGGAAACAGACGAGAGAGAGGAAAGAGAAAAGGGAGGGATGTTGGGAAGGGGACGGGGGAACAGCCTCGATGGGAAAGAGGCACACGGGCCAAATGAGGCCCTGTGGTGGACCTAAGATATTTTTAGAGAACATCCTCCCTTGCCAGCGTGCTCAGCTTGGCATTCAATTATTCTACGAATTTTCACCAAGCACCAATACAGTAAGTCCTCAATTAACATCGTGGATAGGTTCTTAGAAGCTGTGACTTTAAGCGAACCGATGTATAATGAAACCAATTTTCCCATTGGCTAATTGATAGGAGCAAGAGCTGACTTCCTGTGGAGTATTTCTGCTCACAAAAACATCACCAAACTTCTAAATAAAGACCCAAACATTGAAAAAAAAAAAATGTGGGCCATACATACATTTAAGAAGAGATCAGAACAACATGCTTATTTTCCAACGCCTTGATTCTACTTCCAGGTCACGGAAGCCTCTTCCGGCAGCTCGGGGCGCTGGGCGGGAATCCACAGGCAGAAACCCACGTGGACGAGCTGGCCTTCCGTCGCAGGGCACACTCGCTCCCGGCATTGGCCTCCTGTGCCCTCCTTTGGGATGTGGGAGGAAGCCAGAGGACCCGAGAAAACCCACGTAGACACAGGGAGAACTTGCAAACGCCACACGCTGGCCCAGACCGGAATCCATGTTTTTTCCCTCATCTACATCATAACGAAACAACATAGGACAAAATGCCGTTGTTCCAGAACCAGCTGTGCTGCAATGGACTTGGGGCTCCAGAGGTATGTAGAAATTACATTTTAATTAGGAGAGAAAAATAATACAGACAAATACATTAAAAAGATACTTAATAGACTGTTGTAACTGCCATGAAGGATGAGAGAAAGAATGGTACATTGGGCAAAAGGAGATGGCATTTGACTTTAAGGTGATGAGGAAAAACAAATTTGGGGGAGAGACCTTGCTGGAGAGACAAGAAATTACAGAAGCTCCAAACCTATACAGGAGGCATTCTGGTAACTGAGGTATTCTCCCTCTGCTCCAGAATCTCACAGGCTGACCCAATGTCCAGTAATAACAGCATCACCTAGCATATGGTAGACACTTCAAATATTTGTTTTAATTCCATTGGGTTGGCGTCCAGTGGTAAGATAGACAAACTAACCAAAAAAAAAAAAAAAATTCAATATGAGATGCATGTGCTTTAATGGGGCGTTCAGAGGCTCTTGTGGGTGCAGTGAGGAGTGTTCTCCACCAGGCTTTTGAGGGACCCCAACAGCAGATGCCTTGGCTGTTCCCTGCCTGCAACAAGTTCGCTAATTTGATTCACTTGTTACAAAATTCAGCTTTTGTACAGGGAAGGTTCCCGTGCCTGGCACCTTATTAGAATCACTTGGGAATTTTTTAAATTTCAGAATTCTGGCCCCACCTGGGGATCTAATTTAGTAATTTGGGGGTGGGGCCTGTTCCTCCATCTTAAAAAAAAAAATCCCCAGGTGAGTTTCATGTTGAGCCAGTGTGGGAATAAGTGTTCTGGAAGACGCATTGAGTCACTCCAAACCATCCGTGCCTTTACACATCCAGGACACTAAGTTCCCTGGAGACCTAAACATAGAATTATTCCAAGCCACCAACTCTTGGAAGAAGTTTCCAAAAGTGCCAGAGACTGTGGTTTAGCAAAGAGTTTTGCAAATTCTAGTCATGGCTGTACCACCTTTCCCATATTTTGACATCTCTACACCCCAACCAAAGCATCATTTCTTCTCTATCAACCCTTTAGCTATGTTTGTTTTTAAAACCTAAAAATTATATCACACTTTAGATGGCCATCACAAATGGGGAGCAGTATCTTTTGCCAAGATGGAGGTAACCTTAAAGTGAACTTGATTAAAAATATATATATATATTTTATAAAAGTCTAGCCTGGGGACTCTTGTCCGTCCCGAGCTTCTGTGCCTGAGTTCTGTGGTGTCTTGTTTGGAAAATAAAAGGTAGAAGTTGTTAGGCATAAAAGATACTCTAACACCAAACTCAGACCGTCTCAGTTTGAAAGGGTTTAACCTTTTCACTAGGTGCTTCAGTGTTATCCAGCGTCCTATCTGTAGCACGGAACAACACTTGGGTGTCAGTGTGTGATGCATCCCCCTGAGGTAGCCAAAGTCTTTTTGTTGATAAGCTAAATATTTTACAATAGTAGCAGTAGCGGTAAAAAAAAAAAAAAAAAAAAAAAGAGAGACAGAAAAGAAAATCAATGAAAGAACATTCCAGAAGTATAGGTCCAAGAACGTGTTGGTAGCCAGCTAAAATATAGGTTGAGCAGAGGGATTCTAAGTCCTTCCACCCCATTATATAACGAGCTATTGAGAAAGAAGAGAGAGTAGAGGTAAAATTCGGAGAAGAATCCTAGAGAGAGGCTGGGAGAGATTCTGTAGCCCAGAGTCAACATTCTGACGGTTTCCACTCCGATTCTGTCCCAGGCTGGGTCCAGCTCCCGAAGCTTCTCTCTCCCAGTTCCTCGTCTTTGGAATTTCATTTTAACAGAAGCTATTTGAAGATAGGGATCCTATCGCATGCATTTCAGCATCTCTTGTGCTTGGGGCAATGCCTGACACCTAACATAGTAGATGTTTTGTTTTTCAATGAGTGAATGTAACATGAACACCAAATCAGCAGGCATGGGACTTCCGGAGGGTTCGCGGTGAGCTGACTGCAGTCTGTCTGCTTGCTGCGCAGGCCTTCAGTCTGTACCTCCCGACCCTATAACTGATCTCTTAACAGCGGGACTGTGGGGTTTTGTACTCGGTAAGCCCTGGTCCCCAGCACAGCGCTCCATCAAAGGGTATCGATTGGGTAATTAAAATTAATTCGGATTAATAATCTTTTGCCGACATTGCCAATCGCGAAGTGGCACTTCCTCTGCCTCCGCTGCCTAAGGACGAGGCTGGCACTGGGTGGGGTCGGTCCCGGGTGGAGGTGGACCGGGTGACTCAGGGAAGGCCAGTTACCAACTTGTGCCACATACGCGAGAAGAAGAAACGAGCACTTGCCTCGCTCGCATGTGGGGACGTTAAAAATGATTAAACAGCACTTTGCAAACAGGGACAATAACACGTTGCGGCCGACTAGTAGGGTGGGAGTTATGTTTCCGATAGCCCCGAAGAACACCTGAGGAAAATATCTGTGTAACGAGTCACCCCGGTACTTCCCCTCGAGTGAGGGTAAAGGTGACATGTGGGTGGGTCACAGGAGGGAGGTGTCCCAGATCACACTGGTGGCCGCCTAGTTGAGGGAGGTAGTGAGGGTGGGCACAGGTGAAACCCCAACAACAGTGACCACGGTAACGGGGCCACCCCCGGAACGCCTAAATTATATTGACATCTGAGCCTGAGTTGGCTTTATGGTTACTCTGTTGGGTGCATCTGATTCCGAAAGAACAAAGGCTTCTTTAGCAGTCCTCAAACTGGAGTGAGCAGGAGAGTCACTCAGGGGCGGGGGGTGAGGGCTGCTTGTTCCGAATGCAGATTCCTCAGTCCTCATCTGGAAGTTTCTGATTTGAAAGGTCTAGGGCAGCGATACTCATCCGGGGGCGATTTTGCCCCGCAGGGGACACCGAGCAATGTCTGGAGACAGCTTCAGTGGACACGGCAGGGATGAAAGGGTCTGGCGTGGGTGGCTGGAGGCCGGGGATGTTGCTAAACAGCCCACGTGGCATAAAGCAGCCTCCACAACAAAGAGTTAGGACCCAAGTGTCAGCAGTGCCAGGGTTAGAACACCTTCTGGCATGAGGCCTGGGAATGGGCATCTTAAGGAGGGCCTCAGGGGATTTTAATGCTAGAGGTGGAAACCCTGACATAGAAAGGCTGGCTTCCTGTTCCAAGGGCATCACTCTTGGAGTTCCTAGGACTCCATACCTAGGACTGGGTTTGGACTTGACTCTCCCCAGGAAGCCCTGCCTGGTAATCTCCTGCCCTCCCTCCCTCCAGGTAATCACCCCTCCTAAGTACACCTGTCCCAGCATGCATCGCTGGTCCCTTGACTGGCTGGTCTCTCCCACTACAACGAGAGTTTCTTGAGGGCAGGGTCTAAGTTCAGACCTGTCCCCGGCCCCTCGAAAGCGCCTGGCCCAGAGCAGGGCTTGGTCATCGCCTACTGGCTGGAATCTGTCTTGGCTTGAGTGACATCTCTGTGTTGAGCCTAGAGCTTCTCCCTCCTCCAGACACCACCCAAGAACCCTAGTTCAGCATTGCTGTGGAGCTTAGCACTCTGAAATTACCTTCCTTCTCGGCTTTTCATTCATTCAACGAACACTTTATTGGGCACTTACTATGTCTTGCCGTTTGCCTTCCTTTGAGGATATAACAGTAAACAAAAGAGAAAAAAAGCCCTCCTCCCCAGAGCTCATATTCTAGAGAGGAGCGAGGACAATAAGCAGAATAGAAACCTGTGTATAATATGTGTGGCTTCGATAAGGCCAGTGGAGAAAAATGAAATAGAGAAATGAAATGGGGAGTGGGGGGGGCGGGGCCTAGGTGTGGCTGTGGGTGGGAAATTTTAAGTAAGGTAGGCCTCTGGGAGAAAGTGACATTTGAGCAAAGACCCGAGAGCTAAGGATGGCTAGTCTTCTCCTTGTCAGAATATAAACAGGAAGAGGCCAGGAGCTTCCCTTTCTCAATGGCTCCTGTGTCTCCAGAACAGGCACATAGTAGGTGCTCAATAAACACTATTTATACCAAACAAGAGAAGACTATGTGGTTAAACTCTCAGGGAGGCAGATGGGAGATTTTCCTTTTCATGGCCATCCGCTGATCGGCAAGGAGGAGGGAGGCACCGGGGCATGGCCAAACTTAGGAGGGTGCGGAGGACATCTTTGTGGTCGGACTGAGAGGTTGGAGGTCATCCGTGGAAGAGGTGCCCCCCCCTCTTCCCCGCCCAAAGCCAATCTAAGTTCTCAGCCTCCTCGGATCCCTGCAGGTGAGCCGGCCCAGCCCCCCGCAGCGCCCTCCCCAGCCGCCGGGTTCAGCCAGCCATCACCCTGCCCCCTCTCCTCCCGCATCCCCTCCCTTCCCACCGCGTCCCCGAGGGGTGTCCCCGCGCCTGGTGGGCGCACGG